ACTTTTATTATGGGACAGACAGGAATTTGGTTTTGATTTTTTCTTTTTCAAAAGCAGTTGCTATTTTATTCAACTCTTTAAATTTCATGCATTCTTATCTATAGCATCAAGTTATTGTGCTCATTGACGCGAGTTATGATACAGTGGGAGCACTATAGTAGGGATTGGTTCTCCAGACCCCCCACAGTTTTTATATGACGATGAAGAATACAATGATGTCTTCTTGTCCGGTAAGAGCCACATTTAATTTACTTGCATGAAATGCAAGTTTCATACAAAGAGCCACATGTGCGGCTGCATGCATATTTCTTTTTCCTTGTGGATTTCTTGTCATTGCTTTGGGGAGCACACATAAACATGACGTTTTTAAGTACACTAAGATGCTTAATTCATAAAATAGTGTAATCAGTGTTAGTACTCAGATAATGTTTTGTAAGATGTAATGCACTGTGATATAATGTAAGTTTTATAATAATAAAAACTAAGGAGTACCGATTGCATTATATTATGCTCCATAACCTCCATTACAGTATGACAAATGTTTCCATAGAATGTTGGATAAGAACCACAGGATATGACCTCTTGTCCCACTTTCTTAAATCTTTTTATAGTAAGCCAACCTGTACGGTGGGTGGGGTTTACTAATGCTTATCTTGGTTCCTGATTCAAAAGACCCAATCCAACTTTCTCATTGTTGTAGCTTTGAAAGTGAAAGCCAAAAAGATTTTATAATGGGAAGAAGTGTTGGTGCAGTGAGTTCTTGGAAATGAGGTAGATATAGTAGATATCTACCCCCGTGAGTTATTAATAGATATAGGTGCAGTGACCAATCAGACAGAGGATACTGAGAATGTAATCTGATCTAGACACTACGCTGTAGTGGTATAACATACTACCTCTGTCTCGAGTTAAGTTTCTCATTGAAAAATGACATGGTTATTTACTCAATAATTAAATAAGGTCATCTGAGTATATTTTGCGAAGTAGTTTTGATGGGCATATAACATAATGAGGAGGTCATTGATGACAACCGTGATGTTATAAGCTTATTATTTTTAATATTCGATGATTAATTCATCATTTATAAGTGTTAATTATCTCCCAAAATAGAAATGAGAAACTTTAGTTACGACGTCCAAAAGAGGCAAGTGAGAAGCTTAGGCTGAGATGGGGGTATCTCTTATTCTGTGTTAAGAAAAAGGGCTAGGCATCTGGCAGGTAGCAGGCTAGGGTATAGCATCAGGCTGCTGGGCTTGGATAAGGTTAGAGGGTGTGTAGGATTAGACATGGCCAATTTGGGGGAAAATGGTTGGCGCCGAAGGGGAATCTAGCACAAATACGGGACTAAGTGATATTTTTAAAGAGTTCTTTCCATTTTTGGTCCCTTGACTACTGTGTCAGTTACACTTTTGGTACTCGACTTTTAATTTTTTCCATTTTTAGTCCTGGACTACTATGCTAGAGACACTTTTAGTCCTCGACTTAAAAGTTTCCCACATTTAGTCCCCTGAGTATTATCAAATTGACACTTTTAGTCCTTCCACTATGATTTTGACACTATAAGTGAATGACTAAAAATGTCGCTAATATAATAGTTGAAGGACCAAAAGTCACTTTTACGAAAGTTGAAGGATTAAATATGAAAATTTTCAAAGACGGGTACCAAAAGTGTCTTTAACACAATAGTCAAGGACTAAAAGTGGAAAAAATCAAATTCGAGTACCAAAAGTATCAATGACATAATAATCGGAGGACCAAAAGTGGTAAAAACTCCATTTTTAAAACAAGGGCTCCTATGTATATAAAGTCACAAGTCCAGTAGAACTGTAGAAGTTATGTATCTACTTTCATATGAGCTTTTTGGCGCTTTGTGCTCTCATAAATTAATTTTTGTACGAGAGAAGAGACTTCGACATTAAATTAGCCTATATTTGGATCCTGGAAAGTACTCGGGAAATGAAAGAAAATACTAAGGAAAGTCATTTACTTGTGTTTGGATCTACCAGTTACCTCGGACAATGCAAAGGAAATACGGTTAATGTTTTTAAATCTTTTACATATGTTAAGTATTTATTTGAAAGGAATATATAAATAAAACGAATTTGAACAGATATTTAAAATAAATTTATGGAGTTGAAAGAATTCTTTATTTTCCTTAACACTTTTTCCTTCTCAATTCTTCGTATATGGCTATATCTCCTTCCTCCCTATTTTCTTCCCCTAGCATTTTCCGCATTCCAAACAGACTAACGTATTTACATTATATGTAAATGTAACTCATACCCATTTAGGTAGTGGTTGCACATGTCATTTGGCAATGCTTCATGTATTAACTTCAGTGCGATTATACATTTGAAAAACAACCACGCAATTTGCTTGTAAAATCATTTCCATATGGAGATTCTTTGTTTTTTTGTGTGTATATGGGGTTTCTGTGTAAAAGCTTTTACCTGTCCTGGTGGATACATAACCTACTTGCTCCCACCCCACTAGTGTTAAAACTGATGATTCCTTTAGAGAAAAGTTGAGTTTTTAACCACCAATTGATTGATCTCATGAGTGTTGTAAATGACAAAATCTTATGGTTCTTGTAATTCCATAATTATTTCTGTTCAATGTGTGCATTGGTAATGACTCATGTATATACCTTTGCAAATGCAGGAGCCAACTTTATTACCCGTGCATCCAATATGTGGTATACAGAACCCATTTCTGCATTTCCCAACAGATCTCCCATGCATTCCTCTTGATGTTGATAATCATCAGTACTCACTATTTCATCACGAGCTTGTTGCCAATTAGTGTTGCCTATTCAAAGATTGTGGTCCTACTGAACTCTAACTGCCGCTTTTATTGTAAATTATCCAAGTGAAAACAAAAACAAAAAAACAGGTACCGGTTTTAGCCATGGATAAGATACTTGTATTGTGGCGTTGCCTTTCACAGTGTTTCCCCAATAAAAAACAGGCCTAATCTACACATGATTATTCTACCAGATCACATCTTAAGGGAGTGTTTGCGATCCCTCCTATTTTTAGAAAGTGATTGTTTAAAGTAATTTTAGGAAAAAAGTTTAATAGTAAAAGTTGGTATTATTTGAAAAAATGTTCTTGAAAAAGTAAAGTTGGTAGGTTTGGTGGAAAAAAAATGTTTTTGTGTAACAGAAAAAAGTGAAAAGTTGTTTAATGCACCCTTCCATCCGTTTCCATTTTTTAGTTTTTAATGCTTAATTTAAGTAAGGGAAAATAGAAACTAACAATCCAACATTTTAGTAGTCTTCTTACAATAGTCCCACTTTTTCGTTATTCAAGAATAATCCAACCTTTACATCTCATCTTCATTCACTGGTCTCTGACCGGTTAATGACCCGCCATTCCAAGTTATTTTCTTATCTTTGCAAAATATTATCTTTGTGAAAGGTGAGATTTATGGTATAATGGTTTGCAAAGATAAAAAAATAACTTGGAATAGCAAGTCATCAACCGGTCAGGGACCAGTGAATGAAGATGATGTGCAAAGGTGGAACTATTGTAAGAAGCCGCTAAAAGGTTGAATTATTAGTTTCTATTTTACCTTTAAGTAAAAGTTGTTACTTTTTTTTATCGTCAATAAAAGTTGTTACTTAAAATTTAAAAACAGTTATTTCAACTTTTAAGTAAAAAACTGAAATCACTTTTTAAATTTCTTGCAAACAATCCCTATGTCACACAACATTGTTATTTCTGACTTTTTGTCTTGGACTTCTTCAACACAAATCCTCTGTTTTTGCATTTGATCAGTTTCTATTTTTTCCAACTTTGAATCAACCTCATCAGTTGTGCATGGGTTCCTTGACTACTTCCTTCAGTAAATAAAAAGGTAGCAGCAATCACTTTCCTTGCTACGTACGTGTAGGGTGGCCTCAGACTTGGGAACCGTATCAGAACCGACATGTAAAACAAAAAGCTAAAATTGGAAAGAAAAAAAAACAGAAAGAACATTGCAAACAAAGGTACTTTCATGCTCTTTCCATTAAGATTGATTCACCAATTAGCAGAGAACAAAAGCATGTATCACATGAGCCAATCACATCATGGTGTTTTTTCCAATTCACTCAACATCTCTACTGAGGAGAATGAATGAACTGTCGGGATAATCCAGAAAGGTCTTTCTCTTCAAAAGGAGAAGTCTGCTCCAGCAGTCCACCTACTGTTCTGCCTACCTCACCCTGTGTCTGAGGAATTGCAGAAACCCTATTGGAATAAATAGGTGGTCTAGTAGCAGCCACCTGGGCACCATGTCTACTGGTAAATGAATCATATATGTTGGTGTTGTTTTGCATATATGAGTTATTTGAGAGCCATTCTCCTGATCTCCATGATGATGATGACCCAGAATCCAAACGCCAGTCCACATTATTGTAATCAAACTGCGGCATAGGGCAACCACGTTTCCAATCGATGAGTGGTGATGTGGGGCCGCATGGAGGATTGGTTCCAATGCCAGAGTAAGGCCGAAGAGAGGTTGCAGCAAGGGTTTGGTGCCCATTCCACAAACTATCACTCCTGTTTGTTCCAGCGGACTCCAGTGAGCCACCATTGCTTGATACAACAAGTGGCTGTTGTTGTTGATAGTGGAGTTGGTCATTATACAATTCGTTTGTATGGGAAGCAGCATTTGAGGAGTTCAGACTCCTTGAGCCCAGAATGTGTGGCATCAGCGCGCTTGGCTTCATCGTTTCTAAACTCGGATACCAACCCACACCACCATTACCAGGTGGAGATGAACTCATACTGTTGGAGTTGTTCATGATGGGTTTGGGTTTGGGTCGAGGTCGCTGCATCCCTGTTACACTCCCTAGCTGCTGCAAACTATTCAATTCATTCCCAACACTAAAATGCAGAGGAGCTTTTGTTTTTGTGTATGGAATTGTTGTGGCGGCTTGCAAAGAAGAATGAGAATGAGAAGGATTTGATCCTTCTTCCCCTCCCCCTGCATACCGTGTATCACCAGCCGCAATTGATTTTGGCGGTGGCTTGGCCCATTCTGTTTTAGGTCCAACTCTCTTCAATAATTGCGGATCTACGATAGAACTTGCTGTGATGGTGACTTTTGCATTATGAAAGTCCTTCTCATCTGTTTTCTGCTGAATTGGAGTGGGTGGAGGGGCTTTGACCGGTGCCATTATTGGATTCTGATGATGACTACCAGCAGCTATTGGAACTCTTATTGTAGGAGGATAACTGTTCTCTTCTGGCTTTAATGGGACCAGAAAAGGTTCCTGCTTTTGTGCCCTCAAAGTCTCTTCAGCCTTCTCAAGGTCACCTTCACAAGCAACCACGGTTCTTTCCACCTCCTGCTTGGAACATTTGTATTTAAGTTCTAAATCAGCAATATGGGAAAGCTCTTCTGATATATCGATCCTATTATTACCACCACCAACTCTATGTTCATTTCGTTTATGTGCTTCTTCGCTTTCAAATAGCCATGCTACGGATTCTTCCAACCTGCCTTCATTCAGAACAAGGGCTATGGTGGCTCGTTCTTGAGAGAAGCCCATCGCCACGAGTTGCTGAGCAAGTGTGTCCACCTTTCTTGACATGAGAAAGCCACTGCACTTTTCATGCAATTCTTGGGCCCGCCTTTCCTTTTGACGTTGATGTTTTTTCTCATTCTTTTGACGGGTTTTTTCACGCTTTTCATTTTCGGCAATCGATGGTACTATTGTCTCTTGCCTTGGAGCAGGGGGATGAGAGATTTTCTCTTTATCATGGTCCTCTGACTCGCACCCAGACCAGCTTTCGTTGTTGGAAATGGAATCATACTCGGCAACATTTCCAGATGAGTTAGCATCTGCCTCTTCTATGTTTCGGAAACGACCATTGACAAGAGTATTGGAAGATATGGGAGCTAAGTCCAGTGTGTGGAATGTTCCAGAAAGAGGATTGTATCCACTGGTAGGGATCCCACCACCAGCATTTGCATGGCCTGAAGATTTCGGTGGGGGCTTAGGAGCTTCTTTGGCAGCAGCCCTTTTATCCTTGGACATAGATCTAGATGCTGGAGGCATATCAACTCTAATTCCACAAGCCTACAATCAGGAAGGAATACTATTCTCGTTGGCATTGTAATAAAAAAGCAGGGAAGGCCATCCAAATTAAAATATGTAATACATTATTCGTAGCAAGTTCTACCATAAATAGCATGAATAAACCTAACTACCCCCAACTGTCATATAATGTAGACTCGGAATGATCATGTATTGAAAGAAAACTACACACAATTGATAACCACACTCTGTTCCAGCTTTCATCAGAAAGAAAAAAACAGGTTTATTATACAAATCAAGAGTGTGTTGGATCAATGGAATTTAGAAGTGGAAAATATTTTATGCAACATGAATACAGAAACTGTCTCAAATATCAGACTACTCATATTTTCCTTGCAAGTGGAAAATATCTATGATGACAGTGATATTTGTAGGGTTTGATATTTTGATCTAATTATATCTTGAGTAAAATGGCTTCCACAGTAAGGACATCTGCGGTAAAATATTGACACTGTACTTTTCACATGAACGTAGTGTTTACATTTTTTTTGACAATTAATTGATTGTATAAATTTCATATCAATAACATATATGGAACTAGAACTAAGGTGACTATGAATTTGTTTGTTGTGACTTGTGAGTTGTGGCTGATATATACACAAGCCAGACAAAGACATGATATAGAAAGGGATGGATATTAGGCTTTCATAAAAAATCTATAACGAGTGTTTTACTGATAGAAACCAAATGCAAATATGCTTATTTTGTTAAGTATTTAGTTTTAGAATTGAGAAGATAAGGTATCTGATAAACCAAATACAGTTTAACAGCATCTTTAGATGGGGTGTAAGGAGGTTTGAGTAATTCACAGAAGGGTAGGGGATTCCAGGGGGCTCGGAGAGATAAAAGAAAGAAAAGTGAAGAGGGTGTAGGGGAGTGTAGGTGTTCTTCCCTACACCTCATTTCTATCAATTTGCTTATACTTCAACTCGAGATGTAAGGGACCTGACGTGTTTCTTTGTAAAACAGCACCACTATATCTCTAGTCCCCCTGGCACTCAACATCTGAACCATTTTTCTTTGTAAGTTATAGTTCACTTACATTTACTCTTCCTTTTTCATTTTATAGTCTCCCTAAAAGGGATTGGGTTAAAATCTTCTCTTCATTCCCATATCTCTCAATTCCTTATAGTTTCCACTAGTTTCATTAAACTCACTTCCTTAGACTCCACATAAATAGACCATAAAGAGGCAGAGTGAGAACTAGTAATAAAAACTTGTCTAGAATAAAAGTATTTAATTGTTCACATTAAAGACCAAAGGCAGCACCATACTCATCAGATAGATTTCAATGAATGAAAAAAACTTGAAAAGAGATTAAAAGGGGGGGAATAACCCTAAATAATATTAACTATCACCTGTACTCCAATAATGATACGTAAGTTAGACATCACATTCGTTGAATCGATGATACCAAGTATTTTGATATTCAGCCAGCAAGTGCCCTTGGGTCCAAAAAGAGGGGCAATACTTACTTCTGATTCACAGAATAAGCAAGGATAGTGATAGAGAGCCACTTTATGACATCACCTAACTCATCAAAAACTTTTACCAAATCAAACTGACATTCCTAAATGATGCCTGAATGTGAGTAACAAAAGTATACTCAGCACAACAGAGGCAGTCATATGTAGGGCTGGCGTTTCACGTTCACACATGCGAAACAACATGAGCAAATAGATGATGAAGTTTCAATGACCCTTGTTCTACCAAATCCAACATGCCATACAACTACACGTATGGCAAAACCACAACATGAGGTGCATATGACATGGAGCACGGAAAGTTTTGTTCTACCACATCCTCACACACGAGGACAAGTGCAATGCACTGACTCCATTTCAAAATACGCTTTATTTGATAGATAAATACTACTACGTAGTTTTTTTGTTAAATGACTCGAGTAGTAGTAAGGAAGTGGCTTTGTATAATTTTCATTAAATAGAAGGTGATTTTTAAAAGTTCTCACTTGCCTTTTTGGACATCCCATCTAAAGGCTCCCATTTCTATTTTAGAAAATGATTAGCACTCGAAAATGAAAACTTAAATATCACAAATTAAAAATAATACACATATAACATCACGATTATCATCAATGATGTTTCTATATTATATACCCATCAAACTACTTCTCAAAATACTCGAATTACTTTATTTAATTATTGTCTAAATAACCATGTCATTTTAAAATGAACACAGAACACCTTAAGCCAGGACGGAGGTAGTACTTGCTATTCTTGGTTGAAGGGTCATCATTGGTATTATGTAAACTTATTTTCCCTCAAAAATAAAAGTTTGACAAAGTTCACTCTGAGAAACCTCCCCTTCCTAAAATTATCCCCACAAATTTCTTACAGCAGAATAGCGCAGTCATATCTATAATCAACTCAAAAGTATAATGCCTAACTGCACATGCACCATTCTTGCCGGAATACACTTGTACGCATAAATCATAACATAAGCAATGCCAAAGAAACGCACAGTCAAAGATAGCCGCAAATGAGATGCCAAATGCATATATAAACACACAGTCAAGGAGAGCCACAACTTAGATGCCAAATCCAGATCAACGAACACTAATGTCGCTTCTACCAGTCCTCAAATTTCATGATTCATATACCGCCAAGTTCCCAAATCCAATAATAAAAATGCATACATGGAACTGGAAACATCATCAGAAATAGAAACGGAGCCTATGTTGTGGGGGCGCACCTGTAAACAGAGGAAAACGAATAGTATCTGGTTGGAAAAATGTATCGGAAATGAAGAGAGAATGTGTAATGCGACTCTGCGCGATTGAAATGAAACATCTTCGACGAAAGTAGGGCTTTTATTTTTATTTTCGTTTTTCTTTTCTCTGCAAGTAAAAGCGTACGGTAAGACCGTCAGACACATGCGAGAGCATTCGTTCCCTTGTTCGAAGCAGTGCGGTAGGGCTAGACGACTGCGAAATTATTTCACTCATTTTTTTTAGGTTTATTTCACTCATTTCTATGACATATTTCTATGATTAATAATTACATATTCTTTGATTAAAATAAAATATTCCTTACATGGAGAAATGATCATGTCCAACATCTTGGGTCTGAACATGGCCATTTGAGACACTTTCCAGTGGAATTTTTTTATAAAATTATTTGAGCATGATTCTCATCAAATCTAGTTTATTCAAACCACATTTCAGTTCAAAATTCGATCGAAAAGACAGTCAAATTATTTTTTGAAATTGACTGCGTTTTTATATGAATATTTTGGCGAAGTCAACTTCAAAAAATGGTTTGACTGCCTTCCCAATCGAATTTTGAGCTGAAATTTGGTATGGATAAACTAGTCTTGATAAGGAACTTGCTAAAAAAATTCATCAAAAAATTCCACCGGGAAGTGCCCCAAATGGCCATTTTCGGACACTGTTCGGACCCAAGGCTGCTGGACAGGATCATATCTCTCCTTACATGAAAGATAACACCAAACAACAACATCCAAGTCTTGTTCCCAAAATATTTGGGATCAATTAACATTAATCAATTCATTATATCAGAACCAAAAATAGAAGTACGATAAAGAAAAAAAAATACAAAGTATGATAAAATAGATGATATAAATATAAGATAAACATAGCATAAGAGAATATAAGAAAAATAATTAAATGTTAACAAAATAAGAAAAATAAAAGGTAAAAATAACCTAAGAACATAAAAAGATAAAAAAGAAAAAGAAAATGAATACAGAAAATAAAAAATACATCAACCGCTCACATTAATATGTGCTCTCCATTTTTGTTTTCTCAAAAATCATACTATCATCCAACCCAAGATGCATACCAATTCTGATGTCTCTAACCCAAACTTGTTTCGGTCTTCCCCTCACTCTCCTCCCGGACTCTTCTCCTCACTTCTCAACTCGTCTAACAGGCGAATCACTCGGTCTTCTATGTACATGATCAAACCACTGCAATCGAGACTTCTGCATCATATCTTCTATATGCGTTATTCTCACATTGTTTGATTATCTCTTTCCTCAAGCAGACATTTCTGGTATATCCATACATCCAACACAACATGCACATATTTGTAACGCTCATCTTTTGAATGTGACATTGTTTCACCGAAAAACTTTACTCATACATTAATGCAGACCTAATTGTTTTCAGGTAAAATTTGCCCTTCAGTCTAGTCGGCACACCTAGTGACACCTCAATTACATATAAACTCTAATGCACTCTTCTATTCGACCCACTCTAATATGATTATCTGGGACACATCTCTATCTAATTTATCATCCTTCTGAATTATGGAGCCCAAGTAATGGTAGATATCGCATTTTCTATCTAACTTATCATCCTTTTGAATGGTTAAAACCCGAAAGCCGGATCAAAATAAATTGAACCGCAATAAAATTAAATCACTAAAAACAAAAAATGAATGTAAAAAAATGAATTGTAGTTGTTTGGTTCGATTTTGGTTCAAAACCAAACAGAATCGAATGAATCGAACTAATTAAAATATGATTTTTTTTTAAATGGTTAAGCATAAATCATAATACTATTGATAATCTTTGGTTCTAGAATTAATTTATTGTTGTATGTTTAGTTTAGTTTATAAATGTATTTAACTATTCATTGCTTATGACAATGTAGTTATATTGATCTATGTTGTAAAAACCGGACCGGTGAGCGACCTGGACATGTGACTGGGTCACGGGTCAACCCGGTCAAAGCCGGAAAACCGGTCAACGATTATATGTCTATATAATATTAATAAACATATAATTATATACACTCTCATTATATATTTTTATTTGTATTGTACATTTATATTATAATTTGGCATGATTTTCATTCTAAAATAAATATATAAATATATTACATAGTTTTTCTTTTTAGGGAATTGAAATTGCAATTTTATTGGTTTAAAAAATGCATTAAAATTAAAAAGGAAATTATTTTTTTTTTGGAAAAGACCGAAAACCGGGTTTTCCCTGGTTTTTCGGGTTTCTTGGGTCGGGTCCGGATCAGGTTTTTTCGGGTCAGCCGGGTTTTTCCGGTTTTTGACCATTTTCGGGTTTTGAAGAAACCGAACCGGATTTTTGTCCGGGTCACCGGGTTCCGGGTCAACCCGGCCGGGTCGGGTCGGGTCGGTTTTTTAAACATAGATATTGATCTATTATGTCTTTTTATGTATGTAGTTTGCAAAATGGGATACTATAGCTACTTTTTGAGTGAGTTTCTTTTTAAAAAGGGAAATGAGACCATTAATATGACGCATCCAAAAAGGAAAGTAGGACAACTAAAGTGATACAGAGCGAGTATGTATATCACATAAAACAAGAAATTCATAAACAATTTTCAAATTAGTCACAAAAAAGATGTATGTTAAAAATACATACACTCTTGATACAAAAAATTAGAAAAGTGTATTATTTTCCAGCATACTTATGTAATTCAAGACAAATTTGTATTTCTTCTTATTTTTGTATTTTATTTATTTTAATATGCTTGCATTTTTTATGTGTTCAGGGGTTTAGGATTTTTAGTGCAACCATAAAATAATCTAGATACACTTTCATTTACTCTAGATTCACTTTTGCTTAGATTTTTACCAAAAAATGAGTAGAACAATATTCCTTCCATTCTCTTTTTACTCGTCACTATAGGCATTTCAAAGAGATTTAAAAGGGCACCAAATGATTACAATTAACTAGAAAGAGAAATAGAAACAGTGGAAAACTAATGTAGGAAGGAGAAAGAAGAAAAGTTAAAGAAGGTAAGAAAAATCAAGAGAAAAGATGAAAATAGAAAATATAAGGGATATTTACAACTTCAGTCTTGTAATTTGTTGTTGTTATTGTTATTGATCATGTAACTTTAATCACTTGCAAATTTAGTTCTATAACTAATAAATATTTGTAACTTAAGGATTTTTCCGCAGGAAAGTACACTTTTCGGCAGAAAACCCGACGTCGGTGACATCTTTTTCGATATACTATTGCCGGAAAGTGTACTTTTCGGAGAAAAAGTCCTTAAATTGCAAATATTAATTTGTTACGGAACCAAATTTGCAAGTGTCTCAAATTGAACATATAATCAAAATCAACACAAATACTATTTTCGGAGACAGTATTTATCATTGTTTCAACCCCTTTTGCTTGACAAAATAAAAAAGTCTAAATTGGAATAAATGGACATGAAGTACGGAGTATGTATGAATAAAGTATTTTATGATAATACTCCGTATTTTATTTCATACTTGAGAACTTGACCAAATAATAGAGTACAGAGTAGAATTAGGTGCGCAATTATTCAAACTTCACATTTACGAGGACACCATTTGAAGGGGTAAAGAAGAAACCGAGCAACTCACTTTACCAGTAAATGCGAGTTCACGCTTTTCATTTGCCATTTATTATCATCATTATCATTACGATACGATTAGGATTGTATTATAATGATGATGATAATTATTAATTATGATCTAGGATTAGGAAGTGCTCAGGTAATTTTCTAAGAACCGCAAATATATCATCGTCTTCGCCATACCCCATTCGATCTCCCACTCCCACCCTTCCTCCACACTCATCGTCTTCCCGATTCTTTCTGGTAAGCTTAATAACCAACTTTTCAGTTCTTCTCCATATCTTCAATTTCACTATCCTCTGTTATTTAGTCATTTCAGTCATGCTTTTGAACTTCTAAGTTCAGGGGGATATTAACTGTTGCGTTTTCGAAGTAGTTCTGATTATTTTCATGATCTTCTATTCTTCTCTCCGTCTGAGCTGATTCCACTTTGTTTCGCCCTTCGGACTGCAATTGATTTCTTACTATAACTTTACCGATTTCAAATCTGGGGCTGGTATATGAATATGCGTACTTATTCAAGATTTATCGAATAGTTCTACTTATTCCTGAAAATAATTGCAGAAATGCACTTCACCGAAAAAATAATGACTGGAGATGGAGTACAAAATGAAATCCACTCAGATTTACGTGTGTTAAGTTGAAATGAATGGTGAATCTGTTGTGTGCAATTTTTCATATTACGTTTATGTATGTACGGATCTCATATTTCATTTTGAATGAATTTAAATGTATAAATATCTCCAAATTTACCCTTCCCTTTAGCTTGATTCATGAGCTTCATTTTTCGTTAATCATGTGTAGTTTTTCATACATGATCTTTGTGCTATTTTCTTGTTAAGTGGAGTTTCTTTTAAAGTTGTGACGTATTATTACGGGGGCATATCCTATGCAAAACCAAAAACTGGTTATTTCACTTACAAGTCAAAGTAGGTGTTAATTATGTTAAACCTTTCTCCACAGCCCATAAGCTCTTCAAACAGTTTTTTTATGGAACAATGACCATTAATCTTATTTCCATGTAATGTTTATATATGATATATTGGTTCCAAAGTAAAGATCATGTAAAGTGGATAATATGATATACAATGTGAAAAAAGTGATTCATAACAAAAAATATACACAATGTGCTTTCCTGATGCACGTAATGCCACATTGGCATGCGGTTTTGGGAGTTTTTGCTCACAATGGGGATGAGTTGCTTTTATGTGGTGGCTTTTAGATGATAGTCAGTAATTAAAGCCACCACTGTGGGTGCCCTTAGGTTTTATTTTCAGTAGTTTGTTGTTTATTTAGCCTCTCTTGATGTGGGTATTATTTCCTAAAATACTACTAAAGTAAAACATATGGAAAAAAATGTGACTAATGTTATTATAGTACTACATAATGGTCACTATAGTGTATAATTGTACATAATTATAGTCACTAAAAGTCACTCCATATTAGAGGTCACATTTTTGTCCACCATTTTTATTTTAGTATATGTGAGTCATTATTTCATTAATTAATTGTGTGTGTGTGTGCGGGACAGAGTGAGAGCAGTATCTCTGTCACCCACACCATTTTCCTCCCTCATTTTCTCCGTATGGGATGGGTGTCCACGCCCCCC